AGTAAAAATAAACGCACTTACCGCACATTAGAAATAAAAACAGAACGATGTTTAATGTTCCCTTCCTATTGCTCTAAATTCCATCAAAATCAGATTTCGATGCATAATATTACTGAAACATCACACCCACCCGACTGACCGCAACATTTAACACAATTAACTGAAGACAGACGGAAAGCTTTATATACCAATAGAGAGAGACTAACTTATGAATTTACATGACGACTGACGCTATAAAGAAGCAGAAAGTTTATGCTTTCAAAATAGGAAAGCCTGAATGGAAATGCTCAAGAAATTCTGATGGCGGCGGCAACAGGATCTTCTTAACACCGGATCGCAAACTATAAAGCATTACTTAACTTACGTTGAATTGAAAAAACAAAAAACAACAACTAATAATTCACATAACTATTTTATAACTAGACAAAGGATATTATAATAACAAAACAAAAAAAAAACTCTTTAATTCTGGATTTTGACATTTTTTCCATACCAAAAATTAATTAAACTAAACATTAAGCATGGCTTTCAGCAAACAGATCACCATTTATTTGAGATAAAATATAACAATGCAGAAAATAAATGCTATTTATAAGTATTTAATTGGAATAACTGTGCTTATAAAATTACAGGTCCCACACAGAGAGTAAATCATTGGAGATATTAAATGTATTTTTATCACGTAATATTATACAAAAACACATGCAATGGAAAATTACTTCTTCACAATATTGTACCAATACATTAGTCTACATTCTCTTATTTTACTATTTTATAAGGCAACACAGCACACTACATAAGATAAAACAGTAACAGTATGTATATAAACAGTACATATTATATATGAGTAGATAAAAATGTAAAAATGTTCTTTACACTAAGAAAAAATTATTCTTTAAAAAACTTTTCACGGATAAATTCTTTGGGCGATTAAAAATTGCACTTCTATGGCATCACTGCGAAACCTGATCCTTGTGATGAAAAAAAACACTCTCATTGTCTCGCAGTCTAATGTACAAGATAAAACACTTAGTGTTCAACTTAGTGTTTGGAGTGTCATATTGTTCAGTGTTCAAATTTATCTAGGTTTGTTATCACAGCTTTCCCAATGCTGATGTTTGGTAATTGTAGCACCACAGGTCATTTAAAGGTATCACACTTCCTGCTTCTCTACAGACAACAATACAAATGCACTCCCAGCATGTGGACAGTATGTGGTTAATTTTGAGGCGTGTGTCTCTCTGCTATTGAGTAGTTCTTCATAAGTTCTTCTGTAGTTTTATAAAGTATAATAAAGTTAATAAAGTAATCGGGATGATCTGTATCCAGTTGTAAAAGTCATAAACATGTTTCCCTCTTCATCTAAAACCAAACAAGGGTTTACATGAGTTTAACAGCTCAACAACACACTGGTTCAAGCATGCTGTTGTGATGATGTCACAGTGATTGACGCTGGTGGGCGTGTCTTATTTCATCACTCATTCACTTCATGCACATCTTCTCTATTCAACAGTGACATCTCAACAGTCTCTGGTTCATTCACTTGTTTTCCTGTGGAATCTGAAAGAAGATATAAAGTCAATCAAATGAACTAAAAAGAAAGAAAGAGTTTTGCTGCATTTACATCTATATGTATTATTTTAATTGAAAAAAACTTGAATTAACAGCTGAAAAAAAAAGGTAAAAACAGACAAGCCGAACATATTCTTGGAACACTGCTAACCAATCAGATTAAAGAATGGAACTGTTGCGTAAATAAAAACAGTATATTGTTTTTTTATAATAAATTATGTTCTACTTACCAGTGACAGTCACATCAGCAGGATGAATTTAGTGTTAAAGCTTTGGAATGAAACATGCCAAATCTTCCGACGAGTAATAATAAGCTAACATAGCATTAAAATTAAAGTAAACAAATATCAAAAAGTAATTAAAATTACATTGCACTTTTGAGACAATTTCTTGAAGTTGAGATCATCTATACTGTTGTTCTAAATTATTGATCTAAATCATCTAGATCATTGATCTACTCACCTTTGACAGTAACAATGAAATTCTTGTATTCGGTTCTTTTGTTTTTGCGGCTGATCTGTAGTTTATAGAGTCCAGAGTGAATTCTTCTGATGTTATTGATGCTGAGATGTCCAGTCTTCTCATCCAGCACCAGTTTGCTTCTGAATATCTCATCAGAACCATCATATGTTTTTTTACTGGTCGCTCGACTTATTTCAGCAATGAGATTGTTGTCTTCTTTATAGCACCACTGTATTTTATCATCTTTTTGTAGCTCAGTATCAGTCTCTAAAGTGACAGAATCTCCGTCCGCCACTGACTTTTCTTCAACTGTCACAGCTGGACATAGAAATGTGTTCATGAGATCAAGCTTAAATTTGGTGCACTTATACTGTTTAACCCTTTTTTGAATGTGTAAATGCCAAGCACATTAAACAAGTGTGAGCATGTACAAAAAGAGCAGTGTAAGAAAGTACGTTTTTGGGTAAAATCATCTAATTACAATAGTAAGTAATGGACTCCTGCATTGATCTGAAGCATTAGTGTTAACCTAGATCTTAACGTGTTGTAAAACTGACAGTAAATTCCTTGTCCACACTAATACGTTTTCGTTTGAAAATTTATATTTTCTCTTCGTTTTAGCCTTCTGTCCACACTTTGACAGCATTTTTGTCAAGGAAAGTGGAGATTTTTTAAAACGCTCCCCCAAAGTGAATGAATTTGAAAACGCTGCTTTCGCATTGTAGTGTGGACTGTGAAAATGGAAGCCTTTGAAAACGATAGCACATGTCTTGTAATGTGACACATATTGTACCAATAGATATCTTTAAACCGGTATTGTGACTGTTCTGTGCTATTCACTTTCACATTATTGCTACAGATATGTTACACTGTACAGTACACTCTACATATCACAGTCCTGCAATAATGACAGACCTTTAGCTACTTGCAATTGCTGTTTACGCAAAACAAGAGGGCATTTGCATTTTAGACTAGCCATACAATCGTGAATGAGTGCAAACTGGACGCGTCAGTGAATGATGAGGTATTTTCCTAAATAAAATGAGCTCTCAGCTTTTTTGATGCTTTAGGCATGCGGAGTAAAGCAAATGTAACATTTTCTGACGTTTCAGTGTGGATGAGAAACTATTGGAAAACGTTTGAAAACATGTGGACAATGAGTGTTTTAAACTATTTCAAATTTTGTCATTTTAAAAGAAATTCAAGCAGGGCCGGTGTTGAGCCGAAATCTGCACCCCTGCCAGATTATGCATTATGAAATTGCTACCTGATTGCGTAATCCCAACCCCACCCCTAATCCTAACCCCTCCCCCACACCTACTCCTAAACCTACCAATACTAGGGAACGCATAATCTGGCAGGGTGCAGAATTCGGCATGACACCGGAGTGGGACTAATTTTCAACCCTGGAGTTTAATGCCTTTAAACTCTTAAAGTATGATGCAATTTAAATTT